ACTTCAACACAAACGGCTCCTAAACAGCCCCACTTCAACACAAACGGCTCCTAAACAGCCTCACTTCAACACAAACGGCTCATAAACAGCCCCACTTCAACACAAACGGCTCCTAAACAGCCCCACTTCAGTATAAACGGCTCCTAAACAGTCCCAGTTCGGCCCAAACAGCTCCAAAACAGCCCCGGCCCAACCCGAACAACTCCGAAACAGCCCCGCTATGGCCCGACAGCTCTCGAACGGCCCCAAATAGCTGCAGAACATGTTCGTTTCGGTCCGAACAGCCCCCGAATCGCCTTGCTTCTGCCCAAAAGCTCCCGAACAGCCTCAATTCAACTTTGTTTCAGCTCGAACAGCGGTAAGAGAGCCTTGTTTGAGTCCGGACAGCTCACGGAAAGCCAAGTTTCGCCCCACAACAGCAATACGAGCATCCCGGATAACAACTCAAGCACAGACATAACAAAAAGAGAGAAAGGAAGGGGGAGAGAATGAAAAAAATAAAATAATACCTCTCTTGCGCAATCTATCAAACACCTTGGAAGCTGAAATGTGGGAGATTGATGTTTATGGACTCTGTAATGTAGCCTGCCAAAAAAAATCCACAGCAACAGAACATGGCAATTCACCAATCAGTAAGAAAGAAGACGTGCAGCGGCGTGTTTTAAAAAAAAATAAATAAAAATAAAAAATTGAAGAACTGGGCGAACGGAGAGAAGAAGCCTACCGTGTTTTGATTCTGGTTTGATGAAGAAAACCGAGAATTTGTCCCCTTTTATAGATGGAGGTTTGAGATAGAAATAGGAAATTTTCATTATTTTCCTACTCGAAACCGAAGTAGTGAAAAGCTTTGAATGGGAAGAAAGGATTTTGTTGAATCTGTTTGGGAAAACTGATTTTCATTCAGTTTAATATTTGCTTGTGTTTGAGGTAATAAAGAAGAAAGATATTAAGTTACCTTAATATTTTAGTTTTGAACTGCTCAAATCTTGGAGAAAGCCCTTTGAAGGAAATAAAGAGATGA